CCGAGCCAGGGATGCGCGGCCATCAGGAAGGCGCCTCCACGGTGCCTCCAGGGCCAGGCCCAGCTCTTCGCCCCCCAGCAAGCTCTCCAGACCCCGCTGACTTTGGAATAGACCTACAGGGAAAATAAACCCCCAGAATCCACACATCATCTGATCCACAGTGAAACGGGGAAGGAGGAACTGCAAAACACACGATTCCTCCACGAAGACTCCAGTGGAGGGCCAAAACCAGCGGCCTGTGGAAAGGGTACCCTGCATCCCGCTTTCCCCAACAGGTCCTCTTCTCCCACACGGAAATTTTCTCTGGGTAGGGAGAGGAATCCACGTATTTGTTGGGGATTTCCCGACGCTGGGCAGGCCGGGCACTCACGCCAACGTGACGCCTTACGGAGCTGATGTGCTGAGAAGTGCAGGAGAGCAAGGGCGAGGAATGCAGGAACGGGAGAAAAAGAGGAAGGAGAACAAGAGGGGACGGTGCCACTCCAGCAGGGATGTGCTGTGGGGATCTCTTGCAGGAACCCTTGGCACCCTCCAGGTCCACAAACACCAGACACGTGCGCCCGGGGGAGCAGGACATCTCCCCGGAAAGGATCCCCGAGCTCCTCCTGAGTACGGAGTCGTGAGCAGCGTCACAGCCAGGAATAAAGGGCCAGCGGGAGGGAGGAGGCCATGGGTCGTAGGAGAGATGTGGGTTTGCAGCCCACCAGGAGCTGGGAGAAGAGAGGGGCCGGAGGACACGTGGCAGCTGCACCGCAGAACTTGTGTCCCTGAAGTGATCACGTAAGCCAGGTGCGTGGGACGAGACGGGGCGGAAAAGCGAGCTTGGAGGGGTCTGCACCCCTGTTGGCACTGACACCGGTTCCGGCCCGTGTCCGCCCTCCCTGAAAACATCCCCGGCAGCATGATGGGAAGCTGAGCACTGGAAAGGAAGGGGACTTGGTCCCTTGGGAATGCCCCAGGGAAGGTTTTACATGGAGACATCTGTGATGCCTAACAGACATGCGGATGGGAAGGCTGCCGGGAAACCTTCTGCTCCCAACGGTTCTGCAGGGTGCTCTGCACACACCAGGCATCCAGGCTCCTCCGGCCGCACCAGGCAAGGTCTGGACTTGACAACTTCCACAGAACATGGAAAATAAACCCACAGCAGCCATCAGAATTTGTTAAGATAAAGAGAGAATCCACTTCCTCGTGCCCCTGTGCGAAGCTTGGAGCAGAAGCGGAGTAATTTTAGAACTGTCATTCCCAGGTCACCTGCAGGGACTGGCACGGTGCAGCACCGCGGTGAAGGACATGGTAAGCCTCTCCATGAGGATGCACAACACTGCCACGAGCCGGGGTCACATCGGGCTCCCTGCGACGGGCTGGGAGTGAAGAGCCTCCCTGGCCGCTCGCTTTGGAGCGGCTCTGGTGAGGGCGTCAGCAGCCCCATCATCCCTGGCCAGGGCGCAGAGGAGCCCGGAGGAAAAGGGATTCCAGCTGGGACGTGCCTCTCCCTGCTGGATCAGGCCTGGAGTGTCGCTCTCCACAAACCGTAACCCCACCTCCCGCAGGAGGGGGTACTCCCGGGGGATGGTCCCTGCTGCAGGAGAGGCCCCGACCCCCCGGGCTGTACAAACACCTACGTCCTGATGCCGTCTCCTCTCTTCCCTGGCTGGCTGAGGCGTCCTCCACCCTCCTCAGAGCCTGAGGAGCCGGGGATGGAGCCCATGTGTCCAGCTCGGGGCAGAGGATTCACTACGGACAGGATGCCCCAGGCAGGGCACTGGGATGGGGACAGGAGCAAGCACACCACGAGCTCAGGGATGGGGATGGCTC